TGAAATCATTTATCATCTTTATGAGTTTTTTTGTAGAGGCTTTAGGCTATTCGATATATAGGATCATGTCATCTGCAAATAGCTTTGGTATTTTTCTATTAGCCATTAAAATTAAGTTGTTATTAGTTTAAAAAATCTGTTATAACTATAACACATTTTTTTAAAACCCTATGGAAACCACAACACAAAAGCTTGTAAGAGACATACTAAAAATAAACAGCAAAAAGTCAAAATATACTAATAGAGAAAATCACTCAATTACAAAGGAAGACAGTAAGACTGGAAAAAAGGGTATACATAACAAGAAAAAAAAGTAGCAAAATAAAGAACACATTATCTGAATGTTTCTTTTTTTTTTTTTTTTGTCTTTTGTCTTTTTTCCGTGTCTGGCAACGGATCGCAACCCTCAGTGTTGCCCCCGTACCAGACCGGGGACCGGCAACGGGATCGCAACCCTTGGTGTTGCTCCCGCGCCTCGCTCAGCCAGTGAGCGGGAACCGGTCCGCATGTGGGATCCGAACCCTCGGGCGGGAGCGCCGCCACGCTTCCCAAGTGGCGCACTATCCAGTGCGCCACCGGGCTGGCCCCTGAATGTTTCTATATATCAATAATAAATGGATAATAAATAATAAATGTAAATGGATTAAATTACACAATTAAAAGACAGAGTGGATTATAAAAGAAGAACCAACAATATGGTACCTATAGCAAACTCACTTTACCTATAAAGATACATGTCCTAGGGATGCAAGGATGGTTCAATGTACACAAACCAATAAATGTGATAAAGCATATCAAAAGAATTAAGGAAAGAAAATGATCATTTTAACAGATGCAGAAAAAGCATTTGATAAAATCCAACACCCTTCATGATAAGAGCACTCAACAAATTAGATATAGAAGGAATGTACCTCAACACAATAAAGGTCATATGCTACAAACCCACAGCTAATATCATATTGAATGGATAAAAGATTAAGGCTTTCCCTCTAGGATCTGGAACAATACAGGGATGCCCACTTTCCCCATTCTTATTCAATATAGTACTGGAAGTTCTAGCCAGTGTGATAAGGCAAGAGAAAGCAATACAGGACATCCAAATTAGAAAGGAGGAAGTCAAACTATCCCTCTTGGCAGATGATATGGTCATATACATAAAAAACCCTAAAGACCCCACCAAAAAATTACTAGAACTAATAAAAGAATTCAGTAAAGTGGCAGGATACAAAATCAACCTACAAAAATCAGTAGTCTTCCTATACACCAATAATGAAATATCTGAAGAAGAAATCAAGAAAGTAATCCCATTCACAATAGCTACTGAAAAATAAAATACCTCAGAGTAAATTTAACCAAGGAGGTGAAAATCTCTACAACAAAAACTATAAATCACTGGTGGGAGAAATTGAAAAAGACACAAATAAATGGAAAGATGTCCTGTGTTCATGGGTTGGAAGAATTAACACTATAAAACTGTTCATATTATCAAAGCATCTACAGATTCAATGGATTCCCTATATTAAAATACCAATGACATTCTTCACAGAAATAGGAAAATCAATTTTAAAATTTATATGATGCTATAAAAGACCCCGTATAGCCAAAGCAATCTTAGACAAAAAGAATAAAGTGGAAGACATCACTCTTCCTGACTTCAAAATATACTATAAAGCTATAGAACCAAAATAGCATGGTACTGGCAAAAAAACAGACAAATAGACCAATGGAACAGAATAGAAAATCCAGAAATAAACCCATGCATTTACAGCCAACTAATTATCAACAAAGATGCCAAAAATATAAATTGGGGAAAGGATAGCCTCTTTAGTAAATGGTGCTGGAAAAACTGGATATCCATGTGCATAAGATTGAAATTAGACTCCCATCTCTTACCATACATAAAAATCAACTCAAAATTAGTAAAAGACTAAATTTAAGACCCCAAACAATGAAACTACTAGAAGAAAACATAAAGGAAATGCTACATGAAATTGGAGGGGGCAGAATTTTTTTGAACAAGACTACAAAGGCACAGGCAACTAAAGAAAATATAGACAAATGAGACTACATCAAACTAAAAAGCTTCTGCACAGCAAAGGACACATCCAACAAAGTGAAGAGACAACCTACAGAATGGGACCAAGTGTTTGCAAACTACACATCTGACAAGGAGTAATATTCAAAATATATAAGGAGTAATATTCAAAATATATAAGGAACTCAACTCAATAGCTAAAAACAATAATCCAAGAAAAAATGGGCAAAGGACCTGAATAGACATTCCTCAAAAGAAGACATACAAATGGCCAACAAGCACATGAAAAAGTGCTCAACATCAATAATCATCAGGGAAATGTCAATTAAAACCATAGTGACATATCATTTCATTCCAGTTAGAATGGCTATTATCAAAAGATAGACATAACAAATGCTGGTGAGGATCCAGGAAAAAGGAACTCTCATGCATTGTTGGTGGGAATGTAAGTTAATACAGCTATTATGGAAAACAAAATGGAGGTTCCTCCACAGACTAAGAATAGAACTACCTTATGACCCACCAATTTCACTACTGGATATACACCCAAAGGAAATTAAATCAATATATTGAAGAGACACCTGCATTCCCATGTTCATTGCAACAATGTTTACAATAGCCGAGAGATGGAATCAACCTAAATGCCTTTCAATGGATAAAAAAATGTGGTATATAAACATAATGTAATACTATTCAGCCCCAAAGTGCAAGAGTAATGATGCTGGCATACCATTATAATTATTCTATTATTAACAGTTACTGTTGTTACTCTCTTACTATGTCTAATGCATAGATTTAACTTCATCACGGATTTGTATGTATTGAAAAAAACAGAGTATATGTAGGGTTCTGTACTATCCATCGTTTCAGGCATCCACTGGGGTATTGAAATGTATCCCCTGTGGATAAGGGGGTCTATTGTATTCTTACTTCATTATTCAGAGCATCTTAATTCTATCTCACTGCCAGTCTAACCCAGTCGTTGACATAAGCCACCTCCATATCAGGTCATCAAGATGTTCTGATTAAAAAAAAAAGGAGGGAGGTATTTTTATCCCCTAGGAAGAAACCTGTATCCAGCTCTTAAAATAACAAAAATTTCTCCCAGCTGTACATGTTTTATTTCATTTTGAAAACTTAGATATATTTAAAACAATTTGAACACATTTATGTTGTCTCTATGATAGCTGCATTTAAAAATGTTTACCTCTCAGCAAGTGGTATAAAAAATTCTACTTTCGTTTATAAACTAATATTTTAAGAAGTTCTGAAATTTTCACAAAAATTGATATTAACCCTTCTTAAAATGCTATTTCTTAAAGGACTGAAGGAAACTATTATTGAAAGACTTAAATTTAAGAAAAAAAGAGGCTCCTTTCCTTTATTTAAGTGGAAGGTATTATGTTTATTTATTTTATTGCTTCCATTGCAGGACTCAGATAGGGAGCTGAAATATTTCTTGTTTTCAAAAAACATTTTTCTAATAATAAAGTAATACACATTCATTTTAACAAAAAATTAATAAAAGAAAGTTTCTGAATTCTGAAAATCAGAAATGTATAAAACAGAAAATAATATCACCAGTAATCCAATTACCCAGTGATAGCAACTTTTAACTATTTGATACACACCCCGCAATAACTTTTTAATTGTCATGTATATAAGCAACTGTAAGTATGCATTTATGTGTGTATGCATATATACAAGTATACTTCAAGAAGTTTGTGGAAAAATAGAATTAAAAGATACACAAATCTTTCCATGTTTATATATGTGCTTAGTCATTGAACTAAACAAGAATTTTACTAATACAAGACTGTAATCTACTGTTATTACATAAAATCAATAAACATTTATGGAACAAACATACAAACATATGTATGTGTGTTTTTTTTTCTTAACAAAAACAAGATTGTAGTACGGACTTTTTAATTTCAATAAATAAAGAACTACATCATTTCAGTGGCTACATAATCATTTATTTATGGATGTACAATAATTTAATCAGTTTCTTATCAATCAGTATTTAGTTTATTTCCATTTGTTCCCTATTACAAACATTACAATGGTTATGTATATTTTAGAAGTTATGAGAAACTTAAAGTATGTAATTCTGATTTCTTGAGTAGTTTTCTTTAAATATTTGCTTCTATAAGCTGCCATAAAGACAAAAGAGCTTTTGGAATCTTGTCTCAAAGCACTTTAACCACAAAAGTTGGCAATCATCAATAAATATCTAAAATGTTTTAAATGTTTTTAACCTTAATAAAAGACCCTCCAGCCTCACTACAAAGTGTCATTTCAGTTTTAACTTCCTCAGTAGTCCACAAAGCCTTCATCCGATCAAATGGGTTTATGTATTTTGAGGAACCTGGTGCTCTTCTGCCTTCTCCCTGCAGCACTTGCTACTTTTCCTGGCTGCAAGGGCTGGAAAGCATTCCCCTTTCTCATCACTGATCAAATCAAATCCAGAATCATAAGTCCAGCTCAAATCCTACTTGGTCCATAATCTCTTCCTCATCTCTCAGCATAAAGTGATTTGTCCTCTCATTAAAGTCCTTTGTCACATGGTATTTGTATAATTTTTGGCAATTAAATGTATATTGTCATTTATCAGTGCCTTCTTCTGCATTTTCCTGGAACTATACCTTACACATACAAGGATCTTGGTAAATGTTTATTGATTTAATAGACAGTAAACTACAGCCTTGTATTAGTAACATTCTTGTTCAGTTCAATATCTGTGCACATATATAAGCATATAAAAAGAACTATTCTCTTAAAACTCTTATCAAGATATTAACACATTTTTTACCAACTATATACTAGTATTGTTGGTTATGAACTATGTAACATTTCAGTCAAAATCCTATCTTTACGATTTTTTCCTGTTTTTGAAAAAAAAAGATTTTTTTTCTATTTTTTATAATCTCTAAAAGACTTGCATGACGATGGAATCACTTACCTTGCAAAGACTTAAGTGGAAGCACAAAAGTAACACAACAATGTGAATACGCTTCATGTTGGAGGTTTTCAGGGACTGTCTCTGCAGAGGACCCTTTTCCACCCGAAATAGTCTTTTAAAATTTAATTTTTAACCTCTGAAAAAATATTTAAAAAGAGCAACCTCCTAAAGAGCTTTGTACTTTTGAACTCTTAAAGAGTTTGGCTAAAATCCCAAGAGTTTTACCGTAACTGAAACCAAAAATGGCCTTTACAGTAAATAGCCAAGGGAGGCAACCAATAGGAACTATTTCCACAGAAGAGATTGATTTCCCCACTTTGTTAATGAACAATGCCTCAATGTGAATTTTGAGAAAAGACAGAAATTGCACTGGAGGCAAATTGTTTGTGGTTTTTGGCAAAATAAAATTATAATTTTTTTCTTTAAGGTTGAAGACTAGGAGATGGTAAGAATTAAAGCACCTTGTATTGAAGTCTGTGCTAACTAAATACATTAAAAACTCTAAAAAGCCCAGCTCCTTTACCATGCATTGGTTGTGCTATGATCAAATTATATTCTCTGAGCACAGAAAACTTTTTAAAATAATTATTCTTGCCCCAGTACCAACTATAGTGCAGGATTTATTTGTATTTATGAAATAAAATTATGACAGCAGAAATGCTGTCACAGTTTGGGTTTTCCAGAAGTAGATTTGAGGTAGAGTTTGGGGTGTAAGATGTTTAGTAGGGATCAACACCTGTGAAAGGACAGGAGGGGAAGTGGGAGTGAGCAAAGGGAGAAGTGGAACTGTGATGCAGATACAACAAAACCTTGGTCTGCCCATGAGGAACTCTGGAGCTAGTGTGACCTGTCACAATGTTCCCGAGACTGGCAGAAATGGCTGAGCCATTAGGCCTCGCCTTACTCAGTCACCTGATGTGGACTGCCCAGGAGGGGCGTGCCCTTATGTGAGGCAGTTCTCTATAGGATCTGATAATTATTTGCTATCAGGAAGGGGTGACTTCTAACCAGACTCTTCACAACTAGATAGCAAGACCTCCCTTGAAGGGGATCTAGGGAACTCATCTCTGTGTCTTTCAGAGTCCACTACTTGCACCTTTTAGATCTGCTTTCCATGTATACTCGAAGAGAACTTTCTCCAAATTCCAGTGGGCCTCTCTCCCTGAGAGAAAACTTTAGAATTAGTTAGTGGGAAAAGCTACTGCACTTGCCCTTGCAGTAGATCTTGGGGCTGTAGCTGATACTCATCCTCTCCCTTCTCCATACCCATTCTAGATTCCCTTCACCCCGAGCTTCCACCTCTGCTGGCCTTAGTGGCTTACCTGATGGCATGACCTGCAACCTCTTCCAGGAGTGGTCAGAACCCCTGCTTACCATTTGCTTCTCAGGCCGAAGTTGCTGTTTCTACCCCCGTAGATCATATGGGTTGCACACAAATTCCTCCCTACTCCCACTGTGATAACAGCAACCCTACTTCCTCTGAATGATCAGAGTCAATTATCCCTCTCAAGTGGTAACTCCTCTTTCCTGCTGATCTCTAGACACAAAGAGTTAAATGTGTACCGGGCAGCAACCTTAGCTTTTAAGGTTCTTGCTGTGCCCCTAGTGAAACTGTGGTCCTTTGGGGACTAAGACCTCTAACCCTGCAGAGTCTACAGTTGTGGGGACAGGAAGCACGAAGCCCCCAGCTGGTCACTCGGAGTGATGGTAAGTGTGGTCATTCCTCTGTCTATTCTGTGGTTCCCAGACCTATGTATTCTTCCTGTTGAGAATACAACACTATAAGAAGATCTTTGATTCAATGCATATACTGCTTCCTGGAGGATAGCACCCCTCTGCACAAAGTCTTGCCTTTAGCTAGCACAGCTCACATCTGCATTCAGCAGGCCATTTCAGGGCTCTGTCAGGCCATCAGCTTCTGGGTGGTGTGGTATGTGATATGACCAATGGGTTGAATGGTCAGAGTCCCACTCCTGCATTTCCTCTGCTGTAAAGTGGGTACTGTAGTCTGGAAGGATGTTATATGGGATTCCCCTGCTAGAGGATTAAGCACTCTGTGCTCATTTGGGATCATGGTGCCAACTAAGGCTTTGCAGGCAGGAAAGGCATATCCATACCATGAATATATGTCTATTCCTGTGAGAATGTACCACTGGCCCTTCAAAGTGTGAAGGGACCAGATGTAGTAGACAATTTGCCACCAAGTGGCTGCTTGGTATCCTGGATGAATTGTGCCATCTTGTGGGCACATTGGTCTCTGTTGCTGTCAGGTGGGGCATGTGTTTATGGTAGTAGCTGGCTAAGCTTTGGAGGTTCACGCTATTGGCTTCACTGGTAGCCTCCATCCCTGCTACCATGGCCACTTCATTTCTGTGCCCATTGTGCCACCATTGGGGTGGCTGATGACTGAGACTGGCTGATACCAAATTGGCTGAGTCATTTTGTTGGGTAATTAGTGGCTTTTCTCTGGCAGATATACTCTGGTGGGTGTTAACATGTGATACAAAGATTTTTATACTTCAAGCTCATGACTATATGTGTATATTTATGCCCACTTCTATATCTACATGTTTCTATCCCAGACCTTATTGTTCTATCTTCAAATATTTCTCATGCTAGAAAAAAAAAGATGGTCAGGCAATCACTATTGCCTGTGATTTCATATATAGCCTAACCTTGGGCCACTTCTCCTTCCACACAAAGTAGGTGATCAGGTGTGCCACCTGACGCTTTGTCCATTGGGAAGCCTTTCCCTCACCACTGTCTTTAAAACCCACTCCTGAGTGTAGCTGTTATGCAGCTGCTGTCTATTTTTGACTCGTACCTACATACTTAGCCAGCCCATCTGTAAACCAAGTGCAAGCTTTTCCCTCCTCCAGCTGGTCATACTAAGTTCCCTGGAGAGCCATAGGTATGAGCTGAGGGAGGGGCATGGGTGTAACTGTTTGGATGCTCAGGGGGGATCTGGGCTACCTGCCCAGGCACCTTGCTTGTGACTTCTTGTTCTGTTTGTGTTTGGTTCTGGATGTAACACTTCTATCTCATAATACATTTTGCTAGGCCTGCTTGACTTTATGCTTTGTGAGTTTGTTAGGACCCAGTCCATAATGGGCAGTTTTGGCCACTGGTGACATAGTGTCTCATGTCTCCTTTATTTCACATTTACCAGGGACCAGAAGTGCACAAGTTGTTTCTTAAAAGGAGTATAAATCTCTGCTGCAGATGGCATGGCCTTGCTCCTGAAACCCACGGTCCTGTACTGTGGCTCTCCCTTTGCATCTTCCTCAAACACCACACAACATTTTTCCCCATCAATGACACCTCCAACACCACATGGTCTGCTATATCACCGCAGAGCCCTTTCCTGCTCTGGCAGCTGGAGCAGTACTCCTCAGTGTGGAATATTAATCCCTAAAGTCCGCAAAGCCTCACCAGTATTGAGTTTCCTTTCTTGTGGAAGGAAGTGCAAGAGGCAATAATTGTCTTTTACTTTAGAAAGGATGTTCTTCCAGGTTCCTGAGCAATGGTTTCCTAAAAAATTTTACTGACGTGCCAGGCTTTATTGCCCACCCTCTGGAGCATGTATGTCTTATCAAGGCATTCAGCATCCTAGCCACCTCTTGCTCATCTCCTCTGATCAAGGTAATGCCATCAATGCAAAATGATGGGATGCTTTACAGGAAGTACAGATGATCCAGATCTCTTCAGACTCTCTTATGATAGAAGGTAGGAGATAGAGCCTGGGGAGAAACTGTAGGTATACAGTATTGCCCCTTTCATGCGAGTGCAAGTTGCTTCTGATCCTCCCTTCTGATTAAAATATCAAGAGTGGCTTCAGTTTTTCTGGCCATATCCCTATTGATACACTTTACAATATTACTAAAACTAGAATCAAGATCCTCATCTATAAAAGAAATGCCACCTGGAACAAACATTAAACCTTAGGTAAGGGGTGGAATTTCTAGGCTTATAAAGAATAGAAGAGAACAAAAGGAAAAGACATTTCCAGGTCAAAATTATATTTTAAAACTTTACAACAAAAGAGCACTGAAAAAAATAAACTAAGCATATAACTGAGGATATTATTTAAAAACAATAAAATGACTCAAAAGTAATAGAAAGGAAGCAGTAAAGACATAAGCAATAGTAAATAAACTAAAAAGTATAAAGTCTTAGACTTGATAAATTAAACAATGAGTCATTTTGAGAAATAAAAAGTAAAACAGTTTTAGGAGAATGCTATCAGAGTGGACATTTTTAGGGGCCTGCCCTACATTCATAATAGATTTTCATTTTTCTTTGGGGAATTATCTTCTATTATGAGTTGTTCTAGTGGGAGAGTTATTCCAGACACATGCTTTCCAAAATAGAAGTTGAAAAATCCATACCCAGCCTCTTTCCATTCCTTTTTATAGTCTGGGGACTGATCAGAATCTCTCTCTCTCTCTCTCTCTCTCTCTCTCTCTCTCTCTCTGGTTTTTGAGTCTTGAGTTAAGTGATAGAACAGAAGAAACAGTTGGAGAATTATTTACCACAGCAGCAGCAGCAGCAGCAGCAGCAGCATCCTGGTCAGACATGGGATGAGCTTCCTGTGACTCTTTTTTGGCCCTCTTGAGTATACTCAGTTCTTAAACCTAGTTTCTTAGCCCCCTGTCATTTCTGTAAACATCCTATTATCTTCCAAATTAATTTTCTTTTACCAAAATCAGCCAGAGTTCCTTTGGTGGTTTGTCATCTAGAACTTTGTGATAAAACCATGTGCAACTTGTCAAATGAATCTGAAGATCCAATGAAAATTTCAAGGAAAATAAAATTATCAGAATTTACTCAGGCAGAGGTAGAAAACTCAAATAAATTAATAGCTAAGAAAAAATAGAAATGGCAAAGATTTTAACTCCCCAAAGACACTAACTAAGATGTATCAAATCTTTTAAGATTATTCCTCTGTTATTTAAACTTTTCCAGAATACAGAAAAAGATGTAAAGTTCTGACTTATTAGCAATATTCTGGTATTCCTATCCAAAACTGGCTAAGATTAGCCTCAGAAAGAAATCTATAAGCTAATCTCATTTATTAATATACATGCAATGGTCCTAAATAAAATATTAGCAAACCATATACATTAGTGTATATATATATATTTATTATTAT